CTGCAGGGCTGTATTCTCCTTCCTCCTGCTCCCATCTTCCATATTTTCCTGGCTTTACACCTGCCCAGTGCTTTAAAACGTGACATGTGTCATGTACTGAGCAGATGTGTTGCTCCTTGCCTTTGCCTTGCCCTGTGTCCAGCTGCTTTTCCACAGCAGGGGCCCAGCTGCAGCTTCCCAGAGGGTTGGAGCAGCAGCCCAGGGAAGCAGCTCGCTTGGAAGGAATGGGTTTTATCAGCAAACACGTGATATTTAGTGAGAAGGGGAGAGGAAACCGACACCACACAGATGGAGCTTTGCTTTCCCTCAGCTCCTGCCTGTGAAAACAGACACGTTAACCCTTTCCTCGAGGAGGGCCCCACTGTCAGTGCTGACAAACAGGGTTTAATTTGGGGACTGCGGGCCTGACACACAAGGAATAAATCAGTATTCATGCTAATGAGCTACTATGAAAACACTGTTGGGACTGAAATCCAAAATAATAACAAATAGCCAAATCTTAATGTCCTGCATGACATCTCTGAAAGAGGCATTCCACTCCCTGCTGACAAATACACTTGTTTCTGCCCCGATATCCCGAGCAAGGGAAAAATAATCTCCCAGCCTCTTTTCTGCTCATTCCATGGTCACTGAACAACCTTGAGACCACACAGGAACTATCCTGCAGCCCTCCAGAGCTCATAAATAAGTCAGATTAGTGGGAGACAACTCCCCAGATGAATTAGCTGCTTGTTCATGCCTGAACTTCTGAGCTCGCAGCAGCCCCAGTCCCAGCCTTGGACAGGAGTGTGGGTGTGCCCCACTCAGGTCCCCACGCACAGAACTGTAACACGACCTATTTCTTAGCACGGGGAGCCTCCAGAGCACAATTATTCAGCCTTTACATGCAGCTTAATCACATTAATTTATGTAACTCCCTGGGAACCACCATCCAGCTCAAGTGAAGGAGCACAACCACCGTGTCTGACCTGACCTCGTGTGCAGACAGGACAGTAAAACACAGCTCTGAGTGCAACCTCACACCCTGGCTGAGGGTTAAACTCCCAAAAAAGTACATCCTGGGCAGGAAGACCTTTGTTCCACAGGAGGCCCAAGGCACAGCCAGAGCCAGCACGTGGTTCTTGGATCAGGAAGCGAAACGGCCGCGGGCGCCAGGGGTCACAATCCTTAAAGAACAAAGCGAGGCAAAGGAAAAAGCTCTTGCTGGGAGAAATTCACTGGAGCATAATTAAATTTACCTGGGCTTCTTCGCAGGTGGCATTCCATCTTCCAACAACGTTTCCTTGCCCAGGCTCACCGTAGAAGCCATCCAGTTTCTAAGGCAGACAAATCACCACAGGCAAAGTCACTACACATCCACAGCACCACCTGGACAGCAGGTTTTTGCGGAGCCAGCTTTGCACAGGCGGATAAATCCCGGGTTTGTTATCGTTCTCAGATCACCTTTGGGCTGAGAATTGCACAGTTTTGTCACTGGACTTTGCCCCACCGTCTCATCCACTTCCTTCAACCTCCTTTACCATAAAATCACGGGGCTGTTTTGCACAGCCAGGTGGGATCTGTCCTGGCACTGCAGCGTTTCACCGGAGAGCCCAGACCTCGGAGCAGCGCTGCCCCTCTTTCCCAGCAAGGCCTGTCAGCAAGCTTGCCACTTGGGAAACAGTGGGAGGGAAGAAAAGACAAAAAGATTTCTGTTGGCTCCCGAAAAGCCACGGAGAGTGTTTCATTCCCTGGTGATGAGGGAAGGCTTTCCCAGCCCACCATGTGCCTGCAGGCGCTGGGAAATGGCCTCAAAGCCCACGGAAAGGAAGTGGAGTCTGAGAACTCTTTCAACAGCCTGTGACACAAGACACAAAAGGTCTGCCAGCACACAGCCCTCTCCCAAGCTGCTTCTCCCAAATAAGTCTATGAAAAGGAAACGAAAGCAGACAGAGCTGTTCACCCTCCTCTGCTTTTTTTCCTACCAATTGTAATGAAGAGTCCAGCACAAACTCTGTGAGACACAAGGCTTTTGCCCAGAGGGAACGCTGGGGGAGAGCTGCTGACCCCAAAATCACAGGGTCTTGCAGGTTTTGCAGCCTTGGGAAGATTTGAGGGTTTGTCCTACAAACAAGGTGCTGTGATTGCTCCCTGGCAGCAGAGCAGGTGACACAGGGCAGCTCCTCGCAGGTAGGACACCTCGGCTGTGCTGCAAGGTTTGGCACAGATCCCATGAGAAATCATCCCAATAATCAAGGAAACCACAAGCTTTCAATGCTGGGTGATGAGAAGAGGGCACAGGGACTCTGGCAGATGCTCAGACACACCCTGTGTGCAGCTCTTCCTTCCTGAGTGCCTTGGAAAACTGGACAGTGGAATCAGGGAATGTTTTGGGTTGGACAGGACCTTAAAGCCCATCTGGTTCCACCCCCCTGCCATGGAGAACACTTTCCACTAGGCCAGGTTGCTCAATAATAAATCATTAAAACACCTCAGAGAGCTGGTTTTCACCCCCTGCCTCCTTCAACATCACTGAACACATTCTAAACTGGATATAATTTAAGTTCATATTATCTTTGGGTTGTGAATTATCAGCTAAACCTCAAATATCAAGGCTTGTAAACTGGCCTTCCCCTGTTTGCTACCTCCTGCCTCAGCACCACTCCCACCTCACTCCCCCCACGCATTCCCAGGCCATCAACAGCAGGAGTGGAGCCATCAAATCAGTTTTTAAGTGCCTCTAAAGCAATAAGGACACTTCAAAAGTCATTTTGAACTGAGGGAAAAACACCTTTTAGAATTATAATCACCAAGAAATGGTTGTCTGATAGATATGAACCTTCAACCTTCATTTCTATTTAGTGCAGAGAGACAAAAAGGAACAAAAAATTATACACACAGCCTAAAAAAAGTTCTTATTTCTCTTAAAAACAAGCCATAAAGGTTTAGCCAAGAAACAGAAACCTCCAGGTTTCAGGGAGAAGCTCTGCTCCCCAGGGGGATGGATTGTGCCAGCACACCCAAGGTAGCCAAAATGAAATGGAATTACCTCAGAGCTTGGCACTGCCATGGGGAAAAACACCCCAGGTACCACAGGATCCCCTTGGGAACACAGGTGCCATGGAGGAGAGGGAGCCACGGGCACTTACAAGATAAGAAGCGTCTCTCCAGCCTTATCCAGATGTCAGAAACCTTCCAGATATTTGGACTACACGGAGTTGCAGGGTCTGTAAAGATCACACTCCATGGATTCCTGGCTCAGCTGCCCTGTTCCCCTGTGCCAGCCTTGTCTCCAGCACCTTTATCAGGGACACTAAAGGGTTCTCCTTCCCCTCCACACCACACAAATCCCTTACTTTATCCTAAAGCCTTCCAGCAAGGAACCATCAGCTTTAAACCATGGCCAAGCCACCAGCACTGGGTGAACCCAAGCACAGCCACTCCCTGTATAACACAGACATATCCAGCTGTAGGAACTCCAGGTGTATCCCAGATAAAAGCAAATACCTGAACACAGCGTGTCAAACCAAGGCTGAGGCTCACACAGGGTGTTTATTTACAAAAACCTCGCTGTAACTGTACAAAACACGACCACAGCACTCAACCTGCAGAACTGAAATGGGGAATTAATGGGATGTTTTCCCCACTCATGGGGAAGTCACTGCTGAAATCACCTCCACACTCAGCACCCAACAAAAGGGAAGCTACACCTGGATGTTGAAGCTGAAGCCAAGTGATCAGCTCTGTGCTGGAAGATGGGCTCCTCCAGAGCAGCCCCTGCCAATTCCATACAGAAACAAGTACAAATCCATTGCTCATCCATTATTTTTAGCTTCTTTGAGTGCTGAGCAGAACCACCACCAGTGAGGGCATCATTCCAAGCTCCTTTCTCAGCCCAGCAGCTTTGGGATAAGATGGTTTAGACCCCCTATGTTTCAGCCTGAAGTTGAGCTGGCCCTGGCCAATTCCCAAGTTCTGTCCCTCCACGTGGGATCTGCAACTGGAGGTGGATCAGAACCACACTAGAAGGGCACAGGCTGCAGGGACAGTGGGATCGAGGAGAACAAGCCCCGCTCCTCCCACGCCACAGGAACTCCAGGTTCAGCCCCCTCGGGTGCGAATTAAAACACACCAGAGGTTTTCATTCAACGCTGTGATCCTCCACGTGCTTCCATGAGCAAGGAGAGGGAGTGACACAGCAAAGCCCGGCACAGCTCCGCATCCCAGAGCTCCCACGGGAGCCCGCCGGCTTTCCAGGAGTGACTCTGGGAAGGGAAGCGGGCAGGGGGTTCACACCCCCAGGGATGCCCGAGGCCTTACCTGTCCTCTCCGCCGCGCCCCCTCCTCGCTAAACCTGCGGGAAAAGTAACAACACGGGCACTCAGCGGGCGGGGAGGAGGCCGAGGTTTCTTCCCGGAGGGGGAACATCCATGAAAACGGGCTTTTATAGAGAGCGAGGGCGCGGAGCTGGGGGGTGGGCACAACCGGGCCGCAGCGCCCCCAACGCCGTCAGAAGTCCCACCGGGCTCATCCCTGGCCCCCTCGGGCTCCTCCGGCCCCCCCACCCCGAGGCCGCCCCGTCCCCTCACGGCGGC